GAAGACCAACTGGAACCCGCATGGACCCAAGATTCTCACAGAAATCAGTCAAGTTTGGTGAAGGATAAATCATGATTTGGGGTTGCATTCAGTGTGGGGGCCGTGCGAGAGATCTGCAGAGTGGATGGCAACATCAACAGCCTGAGGTATCAAGACATTTGTGCTGCCCATTACATTACAAACCACAGGAAAGGACAAATTCTTCAGCAGGATAGCGCTCCTTCTCATACTTCAGCCTCCACATCAAAGTTCATGTTAGCAAGAAAGGTCAAGGTACTCCAGGATTGGCCAGCCCAGTCACCAAACATGAACATTACTGAGCTTGTTTGGGGTAAGGTGAAGGAGGAGGCATTGAAGATGAATCCAAAGAGTCTTGATGAACTGCAAAAATGCTTTCTTTGCCATTCCAAATGCCTTAATAAGTTATTTGAGTCATTGCAGAGATGTTTGTATGCAGTCCTCCAAACTCGGGAGTCATACACAATATTAATTCTTCTTCCACTGCCCTATCACTTTATATTCTGTACTGTACATTATTTCTGTTAAGTGACAAGGCTTTTGTCTAAGAAAAGTCAGACCTTACTTTCCTAATTAAATAATTAAAAATCAAGGCATGATCATATTTAATTTTAGTAAAATAAGCGTAATTTAGAGGCCTTTGCCTTTCATATAAGCCACTTCTGATACTAAATGATCAACTAGAAGTCAAGTTATTATTTGTTGTTTCTAAAACTTGAATAGGCGATAAGACTTTTGTCATATTGTTTACTCTGTACTGTAGGTTTTTTCGTACCTTATAATCAAAATTAACTATTTTCTCCAGTGAAAAATGATTGACATTATCACAAGGATGTTTAAGCACAGTTAATGATATTTAGCACCACAGATAACAGCAAAACACATTGCAAAGATTCATGAAGTACAGCTTGTTCTACTATTAAAATAACAGTGATTTTGTTCATAAAGGTCATCAACAATAGTCATTAGGAGGGGGAGAGCAGCATTGTCATCTGAAATGGCTTTTATTCAAATTCAGTATGCAATTACTATTAAGATTAAATCTGGACAGTATGTTCTTATTCTTGAATAGGTAATTTCAAAAAGTGATGCAGTTCAGTACTGTTAAAATGCCATCGGGTGCATGACAAAAAGGAAGGGGCACATATTGCACTGTCTCCTTTGCCCTGGAAGTGTCAGGGTTTCTGGTGCGGAACATGAAATTTGGGGTAATAGAATTCAGGAGAGAGCGGTGTAATGGAAGATTAATCTGGAAACTCACTGATCAGGTGACAGATTGGATGACATAATGATAAAGTAGAGACAAGTAAATTAAGGGCATGGAACTCGTCTTAATTCAGCAATCAGAATTCAGAGACTGCCGTGGTGCTTTGAAAGTCTCATGAAAGAAGCAGCAAGCAAATATGCTGATTTGAAAATGCAAAAATGTTAACAAGTCCTTGAGTCTCTAAGGTCAATATGCTACCTGCTGGAAACCTTGAGAAAGTTATTATAGAGTGTCTTGCATGCCGAAAAGAGAGGGAAAATGACCCCATTAAGAAAATGAACCATTTCTTTGCAAATAAACAGAAATTAGATGAAACCTCGTAAGATAGTGTTTATGAATTTCTTCTGCAATGATACATAGTCTTGATTTAAATATGGTATTTAAAGCATTTGCACAACTTTCAGACTAGATTTTAATTACAGTAATGAGCTGATTAATTTTTCATAGTATCCCTATCAAACAAGTAATTTATAGTGTGTGTGTGTTTTGTATAATTTTTTTTATATTTAAAATATATATTATATCATTGTCATGAACATATTTATATTAATGCACACATAATTTTCAAACATTATATATTATACTGTAGACAGGTATGTGTGTATGTACAGTTATGGACAAAAAAGGAAGTGGCTTCTTGAAGGTTTTAAGTTTCTGTGGATTGACTGGATTTATAAGGTGTGTGATTGAGTAAATGTTAAGAATTGTTGTTCATTTCTTCCAAATTGTGCATAAAATATATAATAGTTCGGAAGCTGTTTTCAGGTAATGACAGTTGGTCATTATAAACATTTCCAATTGCTGTGATTGAAAATCAGTATTTTTACTGTACATCAAATTCAAATATCTTAACTTTTCTCAACATTAATACTGTATTGCCTAAAAATTAATAAAACCGTCTTTTAATTTGCCATTAAAAAAAATTACAATTAATATTTATGTAACCAACCTTCTGTATCTAAAATCCAACCTGCTCTTTAAGATCTTAAAACTCAAGGCTTCGGGAATAGCAAAGTCTACTAAAGGAGATCGAGCCTTCTTATGTAAGGCTCCTAAACTCTGGAATAGCCTTCTTGATAATGTCCAAGGCTCAGAAACACTCTTTGAGTTCAAAACTAGATTAAAGACCTATTTTTTAGTAAAGCATACACTCAATGCATCACATAACAGTATATCCATAATCTTGGACCAGGCCGTATCCTGAGCGGTGGTCATGGAGTAGTGGAGAGCATGAGACTGATTCCTGAAAGACCCCAGTAACAGACAAATTTTTGCATTAATCCCACGGGCCAGCCTGATCACCCTTCCCTGAGCAACTCACACCTGCAGCTTCTCCACGATGGATGTCCAGTGTTCTCCAGTCTCCAGCAGACTGCAGTTCTGCACAAGAAGTTTGCCGAGAGAACTGGTCGTGCCCAATTGAGCCTGCATGGTTTCGCTTGAGGTTTGTTTTTTTTTCTTTCTCTTTCATCAGTTGGTGAAGTTTTCTTCATCGCCACTAACACCACTGGCTTGCATAGTTTTTTGGCACTTGTGGAGCTGCGCATCGATGTATTGACTCTTCAATGTTTGGACTTTCAGCAGTGAAAATTAAATCACATTGAACTGAACTTAACTGAACTTTAACTCTGAAAACTGGACTGACACAGTTTCGGTTTAATAGAACGTTTATGTTAAATGGTTTTCAAGGGCACATAATTTACCCCTTTTTTATAATTTAATATTAATATTATGGTTCTTCTGAGTGTGCCAGTTTAGGTTCAGTTCAAAACACAGTTCAGATTTTTTTATTATAATGTGTTAAAAAGTGTCACAGCTCACTGTTTTAGGGGTGTGTTGCTTCACATGAAAATGAGTTTCAAATTCCCGCCCAACTTAACAAGGGGGCGAAGCCAAGAGCTCCCCCGCTCTGTGTTTGGCAACAGACAGGCAGACAGAGAGAATCCACATGAGTAAGAGGATCAGCATTCAGCCGTACATGTACGATTTGGACACGGACCAAGCAGAGAGTACACAATCATTTGTGTCTTTGTATAGTTTTACAGCCAACTGTGTGCTAGTTTAAAGTTCCGAGCTTGTACACCGAGACTAATAACCACACACACTGGATTAACTTTGACTGAGGCACCGGATGCACCGTTCAGAGCCGTGACACGGCACACCAGACATGTACATTTGCATGTTATTTAAATTGAAACTATTCAGATGGAGCTCTGTGGCGTGGCAGAAATATAAATTGTCCCGAATCGTGGCTGGGCACCGCGGACAGCCGCTGACTTGAAGCGCCGTTGCGTGTACCCTAATAGAAAACTATGTTTAGAATTCCAAAATGCATGGCGTATTGCCGAGCGGAGCTTCTGGTGTGCAACCTGCAGGCAAGTTTATTACTATCTGAAATGAAAATCAAGTTAATAAGTAGAAAGTCTGAATGTTCAAAAATAAACGAACTTTAGCCCCTTTGCAATGAGTGTATTAAAAGAGTCACCTGTGCGCAGGTATCTGCTGGACTCCCATTCCTTTACCCACTAGAAAGTGACTATTACTCAATACTTCATTATTGAACAGAAACGCATTTCTCTCTTTCACTGTGCTTTTCGTCGGTTGCCAGTTATAAACAGGCTCCCGGTACACATGCACGAAGGCAGCTGCCAGTGGAGCAGACAGGGCAGAGTGTATGGCGGCCGCCGGTGTCTTTGCTGCGTTAGACGAGCTCCCTGTCACTGCCGCGGCAGCCGGGACAGCGTTCATCAAGTTCGGCGAAGGCCTGGGCCTGAGGTCCCTTTTGAGGATTTGAGCGTCTCGGTATCCCCTGAGAGTCTCCACCGATCTGGTGTACGACCTGCAGGCAAGTTTGTTATTTTGTTTCCAATGGAGAGACACTCACGTGAGGCAACACACTCGCACTTTCCAGCTGCACCTATTTAAGATCACACTCACAGAGAGCTTCTGTTACCTCGAGAACTGCAAACAGCTGAAGTTTAAGGTAGACACAATGAAAAGTACACTAGTTTGCAAACCTACCTACAAACAAACGAAGTTACAAACAATAATTCCGATTAGAGCGATCATGTGGAGAATGTTGATCTTGTGTTGAGCCCAATAAGCCTTGCATCTGAAAATAGAGAAAGGGTGTTCCTGTTGTGACATTTGACTCACACGCTGAAAATGGCGGACGTGAAACAACAAATGATATGGTGACGCGTGCCTGTCAATCAATATTAGCGGGCGGGGGGACCGCTCTCCTACGTCAAGTTGCGGTTGATCTAAATACCGCTCCAATTGGTCCACCGTTTTTATGTTGTTAAATTGAAAAAAAAGGACTGGGTGTGTTTATATCACCCCAATATGACTATCTAAACACTACACACGTCTGTCCAAACAGCTTGAAAAGTATATTTTTTACCATAGGTGCCTTTTAACACAATCTATATTGTAAAAGCGCTATAGAAATAAACATGAATTAAATTAAAGATGAATTTATAAAATATAATAATATTTTACTTTTTGTGTTATAAAAAATGAGTGGACAAAGTACAATTAAAAGATACATATAAAGAAAATAATAATAAAAAAAAAAAAAATAATAATAATAATAATAATAATAATAATAATAATAATCATCATCATCATCATCATAATAAAAAATACATCCAAAAGTTACAAAACAATTAGTCTATTATTTTTATTTCACGCTGCTAATGGCTTTAGGACCCTGCAGAGCACCGCTATGAAACACGTGGAGATTTCAAGCAGCGCTCTTCCAAAAAATAAAAATAAAAATCAACACCTAAAGCACGAGACCAAAGCACGTCTGTCCACATCTGTCCGTGCGCTTTTCCCTTTCCTTCACAACTCTCCTCCCGCGACTCAGGACAGTGTGAACACAGTCGAGCGCGAGACTTCACCACTGTTGGCTTTGTAAAGTTTCTCTGACTCTGACATCTCTTTGTCGGGTCTGTTCCCTCCCTCCCCTCGATCCCCTGTGGATTTAATCGTATTGCAGGAAGTCCCTCACATCCTCTCCTCCTGCGCTGTGAGCGCGCGTGTGTATTTGAGTGAGTGAGTGTGTTTTCTGTCGGTATATTATGAAGATTTGATCATAAGGAGCCGGGCATCATGAGGATCCACCGGCGCATGGAGAGCTGGTACCTCATGAACGGACTGCGCGCTTTTGTGCTGCTGGTAGTGGGACTGACAGCTGACATCTCCACTCATCACTCACCCGACGGTAAGAAACCTCATTCTACTGCTTCTTTATATATTTACTTTGAGGACTACTAATACGTTTCGTGCGACCTTTATAGCTTATCTATCCCTAAAATGCGCTTTTATGGATTCTCAAACTATATGGTGGATCACTGAATGGTACTATTTTGGAACACTTTTGCAATAAATTGAGGCTTGAGGTTTGTGCTTTAGCTGCCACATTGACAAACTGGTGTACCACAGTACAGTTCAAACAGTACTGCTAAAAAGAAAGGTTAAATATGTAAAGTAGAGGACACTAAAGTGTGTAAAATGTGCAGCGCTAGGCTAGCCACACTAAATGATGATGATAATAACAATAATAGTAATAATATTATTAATAATAATGAAAAGTTATACACTTATATTTTTATAAGTTATTGCCATCTGTGTGAATATGTAAAAAAGGTAAGTTTTGAAAATGAATAATGAATTAATAAAACTAGGAGAGTTACTGATGGAGATAAATAGGAAGCTTTGTGTGTATGAGGATGAACAACAATAGCAGGAAAAGAGCAGAGATGCACATTTGTTTGTGCTTTCAACCGTGGCCATTTAAACACATTGTGATATCTGATGTCTGTGTATAAAAATAGGATTAAGGGCATTTAGGGCACTGAAATGTACACATAGAGCCCTTTAAAGGAATTGGTTAGTGCCTACTGTTTAACTCTTTACTGTTTAATAATGAAATATTATTGGCATAAAAGTTTAATGGGATATTTAACAATGCAAATGATGAATAAATGCCTAATTCGTGCCAGGCTGCTCTTACCATGAAACATATTTTGTTGGAATGTGGAAGTTTAAATACCATGAGACACAATTTTTATAAGGAGATTACTTTGATGGACATTTTTAAAAAGGAATCTCAAATTATTTATCAAACAAGGAACTGAAAAATCATATTTACCTTTGAATATATTTTGTGTGAATTTTATTTATTTCTATCCTATATTTGTCTAAGTAACTTTTTATTGTAATACGAATTTGTTTTTATCATGAAATATTTTATGTTTATACATTTTGCCATGAAATAGCCATAAGTTGCTGATCTGGCAATAAATAAATAAATAATTAATTAATTAATAAAAGCCATGTGTATAATTAACTATGTGAGTGATTCTGAATGCATTATCATATCTAATTGCTTATTTTGTATTGATGACTATATTTGAATACACTGATAATCATACACTTTATGTTCAGTGTATATTCAGCTATATGGACAGTGCATTTGATCTAGTAATATACTTTTTTTAGTTCAGCAAGTGTGCATGTTATATTAGGTCACTGGAATTGGTTTGAAAATGGGTTTTGCTATTTAATTCAGCGCAACAGATGATTGATGTAAACTGTGTGTTGGTTAATCATCAGGTCATTTAGGGTTAATTATTGTCTTTCACCTGCCGGTTTCACCGTTTAATTCATCAGATCATATTGTTCCTGCAGCACATCTCGGATCCTCTGCTCTCTCTTTCACAAGAGCACACATGCTACTCTAAGCTGGTGTTCAGAAAGATAGTAATTACACTGAAGGCAGGATGATAATAGCATGTCTCAGAGCTTTGATTGCAGGGGACTCTCGAAACTCTCTGTTTGATCACAGCAAATGAAAATGAATGCAAACAAAAAGAACCCCTCTTATAATGTCTTTCATTTGCCTTTTTTCTTGGTTAACATGCATGTATGAACGTGGTTTACCCACTGGGGGGCGCTGTCTTGAAACCATACTTTAAGGGGGCAGTACTTTGGCTTTTTGCTTAATGCTGGACACCTGTGTGCATGTGAATATGAGCCTCATATTTCCACTTGTTAGCACCTCATTCCCTGCGCTGACAAGCTCCTGAAGTTAGCAGAGCTGACATGGTTTCACAGTATCACACTTGACAGCAAAAAGTACCTACAGCCATTAAAATGCAATTTGAGAGTATCCATCCATGGCTAATTTGTTTCGTGTGCTTTGAGATTGTTTGCGTGTGCGTGTGTTTGTAATGTCTTCATCCATAGCTGAAATCCTCATAATCTGGCGAAGTTTGTGGAATTGCTGATCCAGAATTATGGAATTTTAATCGTGATCCCAAATATTTAGTATCTATATCCGATTTAATGGCCACCTAATCACCCTAGTGCTTTCGCATATCTAAAATATGTCTGGATGTGTTTGTGTACAATCTATTTGCATTATAAATAGGGAATGTTATAGTGGCCGAGACATGCTGCAATTTGAGAAAACACATGCAATTACTAAAAACAGCAGCAAATTAAGAAAATATCTTAATCTGTTTGACAGCATACTTGCTCCAAAATCCTCACAACTCATGCACATTAAGGCATACATGCCCTCCATTTTCACACAACACAAACAAAATGATAAAACGTGCTGCATTTTCTCGCTACACTTTCAAAAAGAACTGAACACAATGGAAATGTTTCAAGGGGACCCTTAAACGTGACGGATGCTGCTGTGCCGAGACTATTGCAGCGTCTCAATTTGCATACTATCCACCCTAAATAGTATTTCAAAAAACATACAGTATGTTCCAAATCGTAGAATGTTGAAAAGAGTATGCCAAAGGTTCCCAGATGGTTTACTGTTCCCCATAAAAATTTTAGTGTAGAACCGTTCATACTCTAACTGCTGATACTGCCCACAGTACATTGTGCGTTGGACGTGAATTCAATTAGAATTGCAAACGTGGGGGAAAAGTGTAGATAAACTGCAAACATGGTGGATGCGCGAGACCAACCGTCAAGTAGAGAGGCTTCGGTAAAGATGTTTGTATGAATGTTAATTAATATCTAGCTAGCTGGAAAATATTTAAGTCGCGTTTTCTATGTTATAATTCATCTGCAACAACAATACTGAACTTATATGAAGACATGTTTGGATATTATTGTGAGTTGTGAAAAAATGCAACACGTTTTCGAAGTTTATCTGTGTTGTGAGAAAATGCAGCGCGTTGTATTAATTTGTTTGCGTTGTGAGAAAATGCAGCGCATTTCATTTGGTTTGTGTTGTGAGAAAATGCAGCGCGTTGTATTAATTTGTTTGCGTTGTGAGAAAATGCAGCGCGTTTCATTTGGTTTGTGTTGTGAGAAAATGCAGCGCGTTGTATTAATTTGTTTGTGTTGTGAGAAAATGCAGCGTGTTTCATTTTGTTTGCGCTGTGAAAAAAATGCAGCTTGTTTCGTTTGGTTTGCGTTGTGAGAAAATGCAGCATGTTTTATTTGATTTGTGTTGTGAGAAAATGCAGCGCATTGTATTAATGTGTTGTGAGAAAATGCAGCATGTTTCATTTTGATTGTGTTGTGAGAAAATGCAGTGTGTTTTATTTTTTGTGATGTGAGAAAATGCAGCGTGTTTTATATTGTTAATGTTGTGAGAAAATGGAGCGAGTTCTATTAATTTGTGTGCGTTGTGAGAAAAGCGCGTTTTATTTTGTTTGTGTTTTATATTTGCTGGCGCGTTTTGTAATTGCATGTGTTTTTTTAAATAGAGGCATGTTAAGCTCTCTCGGCTACCATTGAATGTCGTAATCAGAACTATTTTGACATTCAAAATATTATAGTTGAGTGTAATGTTGACAAAAAATGATGCTTTAGTATTTTGTGGAGTTTGTGTAGTGATAAATACTACAAATATTGCAGCAAATGAAAACTCTCAAGGCCCCACAGCCCATGTGAAGCTGGTGTTGAAAATACATCATACTGACATCAAAATGTTATATGGCGTTGGTTCAATTTAAATTGAATGGCAAAAATTTTGCTTCCATAATCTAATTTAATATTTCACTTTTAAATTTTCACCTTATTACCAAAAACATTGCTGTCCAAACTGAGTTAAAACGATGTTACAGCTTTGTGTTCAATTCTTGATATTATTTGTTGACCTGTTGGGAACAACCTTGTGTATTGAATACAGTTAATGTTAACTGCTCTTTTTAAATGCTATGTTATTATTTGGAGTTTTTTTTATGTAAATATTGTTTCATTCACTACATTACTACAATAAAACGCCTCAGTGTTTCTATGTGGAGTTTGCATGTTACCCCCCGTGTCTCCGGCCTCCACCTCAGTCCAAAGACATGCGGTACAGGTGAATTGAATAAGCCAAATTGGCTGTAGTGTATGTATGTGAATGAGAGTGTATGAGTGTTCCCACCAAGGTTGGTATGTGGCGGGAATAGGCATGGGACGATAACCGTTTTTAAGGTATACCGCGGTTTGTAAAAGTCAAGGTTTTAATACTGCCAAAATTTTCTGTAATACCGTCTCTAAGGTACAGTGTGTGTAAGATTTTTTATTTCCTTTTTTTGTTTGTTTTTTTTGTTTTTGTTTTTGTAGAACCGTATATCCAGCAGGAAAAAATCTCCAAAAATGCCATTTTAAATTGTAAAGAAATCTGTATTTTTGAAACAAATGAAGACAGCAGAAGTCAATGATTCATTTGAATTATATAGCCTGATGTGTTTTTTCTGCTCCAAAATATCACAAATCTTCCAAAAAATAGAATATATTGTTTTCAAAGGGAAAACATTTGTTTGTTTGTTTTTTGCCCAGACGTTAAAAAAAAGAATATATTTTAGAGCGGTGAGCACAATACAATGATACTGTGATTATAGGTTATTATATCATCATCCTTTACCTGCCTAGGCCGGAAAGGCATCCGCTGCGTAAAAAACATATGCTGGATAAGTTGGCGCTTCATTCCGCTGTAGAGACCCCTGATAAATAAAGGGACTGAGCTGAAAAGAAAATGAAAGACTAATCAGAATAGAGTTATTATGTTGTCTGTTCAATTTTTTCTGCCTTTTTTATGCATTTTGTTTATAGGACAGGGGAGAGATGACAGGAAAGATGATTACTGACAACATTGTCGCATAAACGTAACTTTTCTAAAACACTTTTAAATGAACAAAATTGAACAATATTTGCATGAAGAAAACGTGTATATTCTGATAGAGAAAAAAGAACTGATAA